CCCAACGGAGCCTTTAGATCACACCCATGAGTTAAAGTAGTCTAAAGTTTTTGCCATCAACTTGAGCCAAATGATCTTTAGACCAAAGAATCCAAAAAGGCTAGCGATGCATTATCGTTCACATAGCAAACACATCAGGTACACATATTGCTTCAATTTACATGCTCTCAAATACAGCACGAATATACATCATTTCATCCACTTATGTCGATCAAGAGGCGCAAATTTGATCACTCCGAGTCTCAGTGCTGGACACCTGTGCTGCACAATTTTATCAGGTCCATCAGGGTAGAATAAAGCACTTCCAATGAAAGGTACCCCAAAAACCTACGCTTCTCTAACTCTGGACTATCCGCTGACATCTTCCCCTCCTCCATTGGGAGGGAACTGATGCGTGAGGAGCGACAGAGAGAGATCACGAAGAGAGAGAGAGAGATCACGAAGTGGCTTAATTTGGCCGGCAATAGGAACTGAAGAGAATAATAAAAACAGAAAAAGATAAATGTTAGATTTAAGACATGAAAAAACAAGGGCTCCTCCTTGAATTCCTCTTTCGTGTCAAGGCTCATGATCTCATAGTCCAAAGTTTAGACACTAAACTTCGTACCACTTTCTCTTGAGGCCTTGTTTAAAGTTGAGACAACCTCAAAATATTTTAGATCACACCCATGAGTTAAAGTGGTCTAAAGTTTTTGCCATCAACTTTAGCCAAATGATCTTTAGACCAAAGAATCCAAAAAGGCTAGCGATGCGTTATCATTCACATAGCAAACACATCAGCTACACATAATGCTTCAATTTACATGCTCTCAAATACAGCATGAATATACATCATTTCATCCACTTATGTCGATCAAGAGGCGCAAATTTGATCACTCCGAGTCTCAGTGCTGCACACCTGTGCTGCACAATTTTATCAGGTCCATCAGGCTCGAGGAAAGTTGGACTCGCAAGGAGACCGGACGCACGATTGCAGAACGACGGACCCTCGCGGGGGTAAAAAATCAGGAAGGACATTTTCCAACCCACCAAATCTCACGGCCATACCCACGAAGGGTTCAACCTCGACGAGAGGGAATCACCGTCCCCAGGTCACACCGTGGATAAAAAAGGCCAAGGCCCTTAGAGTCCTCCCATTTGGAAAAGCCTCCGAATTAGTATTCTACTCCTCCGAAGGCTCGGGGGCTACTGTCGATGGCCAATACTAGGGTACCCAAAGAGGAGGGACTAATGGTCATCGACGATAGATCATCCTCGTAGTCAAGGGCGCGACTACAGCTCCGACCGGTCCCCAGTTGCTCAAGCTCCGCCTCGCCCGACACCGAGGCCACGGGCTCTGCCTCGTCCAACCTCTGGGACGGGCTCCGCCTCGCCCGACCCTTGGGTCTGCGCTCCGCCTCGCCCGACCCCTGGGTTTGCGCTCCGTCTCGCTCGACCCCTGAGGCTTGGCCCTACCTCGCCCGACCCCGAGGCCGCGGGCTCCAGCTCGCCTGACCTCTGGGGGTTGGCTCCGCCTCGCCCAACCCCTGAGGGTTGGCTCCGTCTCGTTTGACACTTGGGTTTGGGTTCCGCCTCGTCCGAGCCTTGGGTTTGTGCTCCGCCTCGCCTGACCCCGAGGCTGGGGGCCCCGTCTCGCTCGACGGAGACCCATACCGCCGCCAACCACTTCAGGTCCAAACGTATGGGCCTGGGTCAAAGCTCTGACGCCAGAGAAGAAACTGGCACGCCTCGATGTAACCCGTGGCCGCGACGGGACATACCTAGGGGTTCACGTCAGGAACAGCATCGGGCGTACCGGTACTGTTCTGCCTAACCCCCGTACGAACACTGACGGGCGCGTCAGTTCGCCACGACGTCCGCCAGGATGGAGTGGAGCGCCATGACCGGCAGATGACGCTTGCACATGGCGCCAGTGACGAACAAGGCCGCGACGGGAAGCTGTCCCTGTTGACGTCTACAGGGTCGGCGGGACCCGCATAAAGGAGAAGGACCCGGCAATCCTAAAGAACTTCTCCTCGTTCTCTTCTTTTCCTCTACTGTAACCCGTGCTTTCCCTTGGCCTATAAAAGAGAAAGCAGGGCGTCCCACAAGGGGCATCGTATGAGATCGGATCAACTCGACTAATCAAACTCAACTCGACTCGAATCGAGCACACAACATAGAAGCGTCCGAGCTCTCGGCACCCGTTCGTTTCTTTCACCAGAGACTTAGGATCCGTCCCTCTCTCAATCGTTTGTAACCCCTACTATTAACTTTCAGTGCTAGTAACACGAGCAGCAGCAACGAACTGGACGTAGGGACATTCTGCCCGAGCCAGTATAAACCTCGTGTCCTCTTAGCACACCATCCGAGTCAGACGTGCTATATTAGAAATTTACTTGTTGGTGGCAACTCGAAACACCGACACTCTAGCACCGGAAGAAGGGATACTCAAAATGAAAGGAAAAAAAGACTTCCTTTTTGAATTGGTTGGGTCTTAATGCCAATGAACGAAAGAAAAGAAAAATCTCAAACAAAAGTGAAAAAAAACAATTGTGTAGTACCTTCAATCCAGAAACTACTAAAAATGACTCAGAAAATTTACCTCTGTATATAAATGTTCAAAAGAACAATTTGATGCTTATACCTATACACTGTTTTACCTTTTGCCTAAATGTTGCACTACTGCACATCAGTTCATTTATATAACACCATCGGAAACATGAACCTAAACTCTAGAACATATATGAAGCAAAATAATGAACTCGTTTCTCAAGAAGCACAGAATACTTGATCAAATTTGGAACCAAAAAAATAATAAAAAAAGAAGTTGCTTGAAAAAAAAAATCAAAAGATCACCTTTGAATGAATTAGCTCCAAAGTTGACCTTAGCAGAGTCTTCCGAACAAAGATAGAATTGGATAAGTCACCCTGCAGGGTGTGATATTAAAGAATGGAATCATTCTTTTTGCATATTTGAAACAAAAAATAGATAAATAGTAACTAATCCACGAGTGACTGCAGTTGGAACAGGATAATGCGATCAGATAATCAGAACTAGTATACCAAACTATTAAGGTGATTTGGCTTTTTGCTTTCAGTTGTTTCTATTGATACACATTACCACACTAAATCTTATATGCAGTGATTTACAACAATCAGTTCAAGATTTTAGTCTGCTAAGCATGGTAGTACACAAAACCCAAGAGTACAAGTTTAAACTTTTTCTCAACCTTGATCATGGACAAATTAGGCAAATAATAACAAATGGCAGCATATGCATTGTTCAATAACTATGAAAGCAGCTAAGTGTATATGATAGCTCTAAAATAAGTAGCAATATGTCATCTGTGATTGCTGAGCCATAAACAACCAAAAAGGTAAAACAATAAAATTTCCATTTGGTAATAGCAGATTTGACTAAATAATCAAATCAACTGAAACTATTTCTGACACAAACTACAAGATTGGAAAAATGGTCTCAGAGGCCCTGTTCGCTCGGAGGAATTTTGAGGAATTTGTGAGAGCGTGAACAGTGAATTTCAGCTATGAACAGTGAATTCCGGCTGGTTTTTCAGCTAGCCGAACGGCGCCCGAATGTTCTCTTTTATTATGTCCAGTCCGGGTGACTTAACCCGAATTACAGGAGTAAGATTTAGGAGTACTTACTTTCAAAATAGAAGAACAGTTGAACCAACATTACGAGTACTAGAATTTTTGCCACCCTACCATAGAGGCCCAAAGGAGCAAAACAAGCAGTACAAGGTAGCTAAGACTATCTCCAACAGCTGATACCTAAAACAGCGACCCATTCTAGGATTTGGGTTCTGCACAACAAATGGGTCACCGACCTAAAACCTTCCTTCTCCAGTGAAGGCAAAGGAAGGGCCCCCAAGCACCGCCTGCGTCCCTCCCCGCCGAGCTCCGCCCGCGTCCCTCCCCGCCGAGCGCCGCCCGCCTCCCTGCATGCGCCCCCCGCCCCCTCCCCGCCGAGCACCGAGCCGCTCGCCTCCCTCCCAGCCTCGCCGACGAGCTCCCTCCCCTGCACGACCTCCCTTCCTCCCTGCGAGATCCGACGAGCGCTGCGCGAGCACCTCCACCCCCATGTGGCGCTGCTCATCACCGGCGGCGGGAGAGCGGTCCCAGATCCGGCGAGGCAGCCAAGGCCGGGGGCTCCGGAGGTGCTCCCACGGCGAGCTCGCCTCCCGGAGGTGCTCCCACGGCGAGCTCGCCTCGCCGAGCCGGCCACGCCCCGCCTGGCACCCACCACTGCTCCACCCGACGCCTCCTACGGGCCCACCACTACGAGCGCCAAAGACTTTGCGTCTTGGAGAAAGACGACGCAAATAAACGTCCCAATTGGCCTCGTACCAAAAAATGTATGCTCAGTTTGCGTCTTCTGTTGAAGCCAGTTTTCTTCAGCTAAAACACTATGCACGACCTATTTTGGGTTTGCTTCGCCCTTTGCATAGGCTGTTGGAGGCAGTCTAACATACCTGAAAGCCTATCCTTGAGAAGTAACCGGCAACAAAATACAGAGCAGACCTGAAGGAAGAACAAGGAGCAATAAAGACTGTAACATACGACACTAATGCTAAAATGAAACCTTTAGTAGCATGGAAAAAGTGTTGTACGCTAAAGAAGAAAGGAGGTCTTGGGATTATCAACCTTAAAAGTCAAAACTCAGCACAGCTTCTCAAACATCTTGATAAATTCTATAATTAGAAAGATGTTCCTTGGGTTAAACTTGTTTAAAGTTTAGGCAACCTAAAAATATTTTAGATCACACCCGTGAGTTAAAGTGGTCTAAAGTTTTCGCCATCAACTTTAACCAAATGATCTTTAGACCAAAGAATCCAAATAGGCTAGCGATGCATTATCGTTCACATAGCAAACACATCAGGTACACATAATGCTTCAATTTACATGCTCTCAAATACGACACGAATATACATCATTTCATCCACTTATGTCGATCAAGAGGCGCAAATTTGATCACTCCGAGTCTCAGTGCTGGACACCTGTGCTGCACAATTTTATCAGGTCCATCAGGGTAGAGTAAAGCACTTCCAGTGAAAGGTACCCCAAAAACCTACGCTTCTCTAATTCTGGACTATCCGCTGACATCTTCCCCTCCTCCGTTGGGTGATCAACAGTGAGGTACCATGAGATGCAGCCATATGTGTCATCCGGATCAACATGTGCCACTAGGCCAAGTGTTTCGCCTTGGTCAAGATCAAAGTACAGGCACAGGAAATCTCTAGTCACATTCATCCCAAGAACCATTGCTTCATCATGGAGCCAGTGGATTACTTGACTGGCAACCTGCAGATATACAAAATAATAAGTTATCAAACTAATAAGGTTGAGCACTGCAAATGGTTTGCAGAATTTGCATGGAACTGGTAATGGACAAAGGTTTTACAAAGGGGCATAACGCAGCAATTATTAGAGTGCAGTGATTCAACATTAGAGCTATGCATAGAATATGGGTGCGTTTGGTTTCTTGGCCAACTTCTAGCCTGGCTAGAATCCTAGCCTAGGCAGCCTTAGCCTGCTCCCACTAAGCCAACCCCTGGTTGTTTGGTTGTCTGTACTATAGCAGCCTGGCTAGCTCCAGAGTATGTTTGGTTGCCTGGTTTGTTTTGATAGTCACCTCTTCTTCCAATGGACCCATGGTTGTTTGGCTGTCTGTACTAGATTAGCCTGGCTAGCTCCAGAGTGTGCTTGGTTGCCTGGTTTGTTTTGATACAATCACCTCTTCTTCCAATGGGTAAGGTGGCATTTCGTCAAACAAGTGATGGGCATCCTCGTCGTGCACCGCACGGCCGCCGCCGCCGCTAGCAGCAGCTTCCCTCGACTTCTTCCCCACCGGGGCCGCCAGCTGGGCTTCCAGAATCTGCGGTGTGGCGTTGGCAATCTATTGTAGAATTTCTGGTCATAGGCATGCAATACTTTGATGACATTTCATATGCACAAATGTACTGAATGTCTGAATTCTGAAGGTCTTTGCTTCATGGCGACTGATATAACACCCAATTACTGAGTGAGGCACATTTCAGCTCGAGCCAGTATTTACCTATGAATTCCAGTGCATAATGAATTTTGGAAACACATGCTGTTCAGAATAGACGAAGTAAATAGTTAGTGAAGAACGACGGTGCTTCTCACTGGGAAAAAAACAGCAAATGATTCTGAATTTGGGTGACTTAACTGAATTTACTGAACTTCAGTTTCAGTTTGCAAGTACCCTACTTTGGAGCTCTCTACCTCCCCACTCTGATCTGAGTTAGACTCTGAACCTTTAAGCAATGTTGTAGCACTCATGTAGCTCTACAACACGTTGTAATTGGATTAGATTTTTGCTAATTGGATCAGGAGATAGAGATGGCAGAAGATGGCTGATTCAGTCGATTTTTGGGCGTTTTTTGAAACGCCATCAGGCTGGCTCTCGGTCGTGGCTGACTGTGTCAGCGGCGCGGCACCGCAGTAGCCCTGCCGCTGCCCGCACAGCCTCGCGCCCGCGTCCAGAAACTCCATCAGGTAGCTTGGCGTCGCACCCACACAGTTCTCCGGCAGCTTGGCCTCCCATACGAAGTCCGCTCCTGCCGCGCCGCGGAACGCGTGGTTGAGCCGCGCGAGCCAGCAGGCGGGTCGAGGCGGAGCAGCACCTCGGCGGCGCAGAGCTCCGGCAGGTCGCCCAGGCCCACAGCAGCAGGCCCGGCAGCCGCCACCGCCTCGGCTCCGTCCATCCCGAGCAGGACCGACACCCACGCCCTTCCCCAGTGCTGGTCAGCGTGAGGGACGCCGGAGACGGCGCAGCCGCGGAGGAGCAGATGCGAGCCGGAGACGGCACAGGGAGGGCCGCCAGGGCCGGGTGCGCTCGCAGGCTCGGGCGGTGTCGGGAGGTTGAAGAAATGCGGTGGGGAGAGGGGGCGGTGAGGAGACGCGCGAGGGAGGCTTGGCCAAGCCAGGCTCCAGAAAAACAGAAGCTCATCTCGTTCTTTCCTGGCCAGGCTACAGTAGTACGGATGGCCCCCCAAAGCCAGGCCCCAACCCATCTACAGCCTACCAAACAAGCTCATCTTGGCTCCAGGTAACCAGGCCAGGGGTTAGCCACCCAACCAAACAGGCCCTATATTCTTTGGCAACCCTTTCTTGAGATATAAGAAATAATAAGTAGACAAGAAATTTTCCAATTTCCATCGTGCAGATCTACCCCAAAAAAAAAAAAAGAAGAGGGAGGGGGGAGCGTTTCATCACCTGCTGCAGAAGCATCATTGGGAGGTCTTCCAAGTCACAATTGTAACTATTTATCAGACGTCCATCAGATGGCTTCCCAGTCAACGATCCAGCAATGCTTGGAGAGCCCTCACCCATTAAACTAATTTGGCCATCTTTCAAGATCACCTTTGTACTAAACTGTGACCTGGATTTGTACTTCAGCTCGTGATGGTCTGAAGGTTTTCTGGCTCGATCTGTGGACAGGATAGGCTGAGGAACTTTCAAGCAGAGAGACCAGGAAGACGTCCGAGAATGCCATGTAGGAAGGGAACGCAGATGGAGATAAGGAACCCTACTAACCTGCATTAGTGAAAGGAAGTCACAATGCCAGTCTACTATAAAATTATATTAATTGACAAGTGTAGAGTAGTCCTACCACACTTTCCAGCTCCAAATGTACTTTGTTAGAAAATATCCTGTGAGACACTGTCATGCAAAAATGACTTAGCAGGCCACAATCGTCAGGTGCAGCCTGAGCAGAACCCTGGTAACGAACCATATGACGAGATTTCTCCCTGAGTTTCCTAAGAATGTTTTCATGGAACATATGTAGCAGGTAAATTTCTAAGCATTTGGGGTTAGGAAACCCTCTCACATCCTTATTTGAAGACTCCTTCCCATTTACAGTGGCTACTGCAAGACTTCCAGTATAATCTGTATCCATATGATCTTCCTGCCCTACTGTTCCTGAGTTACTATTTTGTCCAGAGAGCTCAAGCGAAAGGCACAAAGAACACTCCTGGCCAATCGCTAATTGCAGAAAATCTTCGCACATCCCAGTAACATTGATGCCTTGAGATTGGATAAATGTCTCCCGGATCACCATATCAAATACCTACAAGAGATATGCACTAAATCAAGTGCGATGGTGCAGGTAAAAGTAAGGAAAACAGCATGGTGAAGGCTACAATGGTTCTTTTCTATACATGGTGCTCTAGTTAGTCAGAGGACTGTGTGAAAATCATAGGCATTTAACCCACCTGCTCCTCAAATATGGACCTGTGGATGTCACGAAGGATGGAATGTGCATGTTTGATAGACTTATTGACATCATCATTCTCCAAAACATCCTTTTTGGCTTCAGTAGTTGTGTTGGTTAACGTGCCTTCTTTCTTTTTTATAGCAGTGCTTTCTGCATTATTGGCTATGTCTCCACGAAATTGAAGGCTCAAGGAACGGAAAGACTTCTGTGGTATTTGTACAGACAAAGTGCCTGAAGAGTCTTGATCAATCGGAATTAAAGATAATGGTGATAACCGAGGCATTGTTGTTGTGTCTAGCTGAGAACTATCAACTAGATCAAACATGAAGCCTTCACTTCCTGGACTCCCAACAGCCCGCTGCCGCTTCACTTTCCAGTTCTGCTGCAATCTGCAAATGTATGCGCTTTGTGTCAACAGCTTCAATTTTTTACAGCTTTTACATTCAAAACTTCAACAGCAGTAACTACCTTATTAAGGAGCTGTAGAACCTAGTCTCCTTTTGGAACTGTTGCTCCATTGTCCTAGAAGATTGTTTGAAGTACCGTGACAAATGCTGAGAGATCCCAAAAGGCACAAATGAATATTACGGCAGTAAGCACAATAATAAACAGCAGAGCTTGAAATATCAATTACAGAAGCATTCTTTTTTACAGTTACTTTCAGCTCTGGTTTTCTTTGTTGCACTAGTCTAAAGAGCTCCATGCATCCACTCCATTGATTTGAAAATGCTATCTAATTACACATGGTAGCCAGTGGTACGGAACATACCCTAAGGCGCTGGAGCTTGGTGGCAGCAGAGACTGCCATGTCAACAAGTATTTCATTTGGCTGCGACTTGGGCTTCGTTGTCGAGGCGACGGCCACAGCGTCATTAGCCTCCACCTGAGGCATAATTTTCAACATAATCATAAGTGATCGCCAGCATTGCATTCGCAGGGACTGAAATTGGGTGCACATCTGCATTTACCAACCGTGCCGATGAGGTCTATGACAACGGAGAGCTCCTGATGTGCCTGCTGCAGGCTCTCCATAAGGCCCTGCCAGGGCCATGCCTGCTGGGTAGTGTCAGCCTCAGCCGCCTTCTTGGCCTTCTTTGCATCCTTCTCTATGACCCAGGAGAAGTCAATCCGGCGGATGGCCGCGAGTCGCTGCTCCTCATTGCTAGTGTCCCTACAACCGCAGACACCGCCCCGCAAGCAGAGGAAAGGAAAAGCGCGTGAGTTCCTGGTGGATTTGAGAGGAACAGACTACGGGTTGTCAGCAAACTTACGGTGGGTAGTGCTCGTTGCCAATCTCGTCAATGGCCTCAAGGCGCTTGATGGGGAGCTTGTCGAGGTCCACCCGCACGTCACCTTTGTCCATGTCGCTCCTTTCTTTTTGTTTCCTGGAGCTCACTTTGGCCCTGTTTCCTTAGCTAGCTTTTTCATAAGTTTCAGCCAACCATACCTTCAACACAGGCTACTCGGGCTGGAGCAGGTAGCTCAATCAACGGGCTCGCACAGATCCACAGGTCGCAGGCCAGTCGAAGTCGGAGGGGCTGCTCAGTGTTGCCTTTGCTGGATCTGCAGGGCGTCGACCGTCAGCCGTGGTACACCGACAGAACGGGACTGCATATAGACGTTCTTGCTGTGTCAATAGACAACAAAGGTGTTGCATATAGCCGTTCTTGTTGTGTCAATAGACAAGTAGTACTCAAGTACATGAAAACAAAATATTTTTGGGGTTGTCGAACAACTAACTAGTCACTGTTTTACAGTTAATAGACCAAGAAATACAGAATTGCTAGCATTGGTAGTCATCGCCAATCCCTATTCCCTAAAAAAAAGGGGCGTACCCAGTGCAGAGAGCTCCCGCTCTGTGCGGGGTCTAGGGAAGGGTGTCAGTGGCAAGCCTTACCCTCGTCTGTGCAATGCGAGGAGACCGCGACTCGAACCCAGGACCTTCCGGTCACAAGCAGTAAGACTCTACCGCTTGCACCAGGCCTGCCCTTCCCCTATTCCCTAACTGAAAAAAAAACTTCAGAATTACTCACAGTTTTGAATGGCTGTGTGCAACAGCCAACAGCCATGCAGCTATAGACAGTACAGGCGCATACTTGCATACTAGAATCCTCATACCAGTAGTATAGGGTACCGTAAAATCCCTAAAAAGAAAAGTAGAGGAGAAAATAAATACATGACAACTAAGGTCTCAACTAAGCTATTTGTGGTGTTTCGCATGATATGATATTCTGATGGATGCAAATGTTCTATCTGGAGAATGCTAGCTAGTGAATCCAAATGTTCTGCGGTTCTTTAATTTTCAGTAACTCTAATAAGCAGCATCTTGTGTACTAGACCTTGTGATTGCGAGGCACACTGAAAATTCCAAGCTAACTGACTGACTCAAAGATGTGACCATCAGAGTTGAGAGCAGTTGAACTGACTTGGAACAAACAGCAAAGTCTATTGAGCTAATTATAACAGGAGAAATTGCTCTCTGACAGACGCTAAATAAACCTCATGCATAAAGGCACTGCAGGTTAAATAAATTCAGCATAGCATAAAGGCGGTTCTTTAACCATCAGACAAAACATGCTATTCTCAGTATGCTACTACAAGCACATCCAATGAGTAGAAGTTACACATCCAAGGTCGTAGGAGCTCGATCTGGGGAGGAGAGAGGAAGGGCTCACCGGATCTTGGGACGAGGCAAGGCGGCCAGGCGGGGGCAGTCACGGAGCAGTGGTGGAGATCGAGCCGGCGCGGTCAGGTCGGCGGGCGGCGGTGGCACTGGATCAAGCACAGGCAGCCGGGCGTCGAGGTGGCGGCGGCAGCTCCAGGATCTACGGAAACAGTCTATGAGAAGAGAGGATTAAGAAACCCGAAACCCTAGCGGGAGGCACAGAGATGTAGGTTGTCGCGGGCTCACCGTTGGCGTGAGCCGAAGCGACGAGAAGGCGCAGGGGCGGCGGCGACGGGATGCCGGCCGGGCGGCGGCCTCGCGACTTGAAGCTGCGCGAGCGGAGGAAGAGCTGCGCGAGCGGTCGCGCGACTGGCAAGCGGATGCAACGGGAAACCCTCTCGGCCTCATCGATCGGATTCCTTCCGCGTGGAAAACGAAGGGAAGCGGACTGCGTTCCTCGGGTTGGTGGGCTTCCAACCAGCACAAAAATTTGGCCCGGGGGTGATTGGCCCAGGGAATTCGCGGGGATCTCCCGGAGGATTTGGGCTCCCAGAGTAGTCTGCACAGTACTCCGTATAAATTACTCTGCGAGACGATGAAAATACTACGTGGAGTATTAATCAACACAAGCATTGACGAAAAGGGTGATTTTCCGTTCATATCAGCCGTTCATACAGCTGCTAGTACTTCAATGGATACTAGCGTCACATTCGAACAATCCACCAAGACCAACGACTGCAATGGTTCAAGCACTATAGCTGTATAGCACAAGTGCACTTTACGGTCCTGTTCTCTTGTCTTATAATTTATAATATGTATTTTTCAGCTTGTTTTTTTAGCTAGAACGGTGTTTTTCTCTCACAATAAATCAGCCGAAACAGTTTCAGCTTGTTTTTTCAGCGAAGCGAACAGCGCCTATGATTCCGATGCAAACTCCAACAGCGCTGATAAATGGCAATGACATACTATTAACATAACACAAAATCAGGGCAAAATCAGGGCACTAAAAGAAGCTGCGATCTTATTGGCATATATAGTACACGAAGCAGTGACACAATAGGCGCCACCATTCACAGGAGTTCCAAATCGCAGCTGCTGAAATGTTCGAACGATATAGTTCGTCATAAACTTAGATGCGGAAGCTACAACTAACAGAACTGCCACCAAAGTTGTCTAACTACCAATAGGTCCTTCAGGTTGGCAGAGCTAAGGAGCATTAGCAGGAGGCCTAGTAAGCATCCTGTCAACTTTTGCCAAAAGGCCCTGCATCTCCCCCAGAAGCTTATCTGGAACAGGATTCAGCTGCCCATCTGATGAGGTTGCGTTCAAAGCCGAACGACGGGCTGAAATCATATCCTCAAGGTTCTTCCTAATATCTTGGAGTGGAGGCTTTGAAGCAAGAGATGGTGAAGGCAGAGTCAACTTGATTGGAGAGAAATCAAGCCTTAGTTTAGCAAACGGAGGCCCAAACTGACCAAGAAGGTACTGACAACCGTTCTTGTACGCCTCCTCAGCTTCAATGCTTTTCCCAAACACAACACAAGCACTGCGGGTAGTTTCTGAAATATCAGTCTGAGACTCGATCAAGTAGCCGTACTTGCCAAATGTGGAGAGTAGCTCCTGTCTGGAAGGAACAGTGGCACCACGTTCAAATTCCACAATAACGGCTGCTGGATTGCTGAAGTGCTGTGCAGCTTTCTTCTTCTTTTTCTTAGGAGTAAGGTTAGCAGGGTCCAGCCAAGTGCCGTTGGTACCTTCGGCACAGGAATGATTTGCCACTTCTGCAGGTAGCTCCACTTTCTTGACAGGTTGTCCATCCTTTTGAAACTCATCTTTGAGTGTATCATTCACACCTATTGTATCTGCACCGTTAGTGTTAACTTTCTTAAGCATTTCTGGCACCATAGCTTGCAGAGAAGCATAAGATTGCTGGACTGCAAAAACTTCTACACCCCCAGGATCTTTATTTCCATCCACAGGCTGAGACATGTCTTCGTGCATAGGAGACAACCCACTGCTGACAAGCAAATCTCCAGCATTTTGCAGATTTTCATGTATGCGAATATCAGCATCGGGCATTGTTGCATCCTTTGAAACGCTTCTGTCGGACACATCTGCAGCGACACTGCACACATTCTCGTTTATGTTATTATTATCAGTTTCCAACTCTGTTGGTTCCTTAGAAACAATTCTGTCAGGCACATCTGAAACATCGCTTTGCACATTCTTGTCCTTGTGTACACACGTTTCTGGCTCTGTTGCTTCCTTAGAAACACTTTCAACAGGGACATCTACAACAACACTTTGTGCACTCACTTCTATGGGATTATTAGCTTGCAATTCCATTGCTTCTGTCTGAACACTTCTGATAGGCACATCAGTAACATTTTGCACATTCATTTCTGACCTTGTTGCTTCCAAGTTAGCCGCATCATTTTCTTTTGCGGATTGTTCAGGCAACGAATTGCCCACAGCCAGAACATTTGCTTGGGCCTGTTCATGTCCTGATTCCGCTGCCCCAGGATCCGCGGCTGAAATAGGAACTTTCAAAGGTGATGGCTTGCCCTGCTCATTCTTAACGCCTACTCCTATACCCCTTGGACCACTTCCCGCCTTCATTAGGGTTCTTATATCTTCTGCTTTCACTTGCCTGATAGGAATAGCAGGAGTGATTGGTATACCAGCGCCAATTGTAGCAGCAGGAGAGGTCTTCTCCCGCTTCTTCCTCTTGGTCGAAGAGCCACCACTCCCAGCTTCATCCTTTTTCCTGCCCCTCTTTGACACACAACTGCCTTGTTTCAGAACAGCATGTGAAACAGAGACTAGACCCACAGCAATGTCCATGCCAACATTTCTAGAGCCACGCATGCCACGCATGAGTGGACTTTCATGTGCCTTACAAGACTTATAGTCAGCACCGTGAATGAATGTCGTGCTTCTAAACAAACGTAGGAATTCCTCAGCATCCTTTGGAAAATCGTCCGTATGGTTGGGAACCTCCCCTAAGCCTCGCACCAGCAGCAAGACATCTTCCACAACAATGCTGCCTGGCAATGGCGATTCATATCTGCCATCTTCAGCAGCTTTGGGCACCAATGCCTTTGGCAGATCAACCGGTTTACGGGTAATCTTATCAGCCACACCCAAGTTGGTGTATGGTGGCGACAGGTACTTACTCTTCTTCCGCTCTCGCTTTCCTGAGGTTACATGCTCAGCACTGTCAATCTTGCCGTCATCCTCCGCTGCATCCCACTTGTCCATCATTTTGCTGACACTGCGCTTCTTCTGCTTGGGTGTCTCCTCTGGCCTCTCCAATGCCTTGTACTGGTCCTCGGCAAGCCAATCATCAGCATCTCTGTCTTCGCCAGCGGGCACATCAAGATCGATCTTGTCCACAAGGTCGTCCGGACAGCGCCGCGGGTAGTGCTGGGCGCCACGCGGACCCCACCCCTCCCCGACCGCGCCGACCCAGCTCTTGAGCCTGGCGCGGTCCACCAGGCCGACAGAGGAGACGTCCAATGCGGCCTCACGGAGCGCCGCCAGGAACTCCTCGGGCGCCAGGTTGGCGACTCCGGTGACGCGGCAATCCGCTCCGGGCGGCGGGGGCGGGACGCAGGCGCAGGTGAGCTGGGCGCGCAGGGCCGCGACGGCGCGCGCGTGGGCCTCCTCGACGGCCCCGAAGAGTCCGCGCGCGATGC